AGACAAAGCAGCTGGGCTTAAACCAAGCTCTGCCACTAATGTGCACTGTGATCTCACATAAGCCACCTTTTTCTTGTCCTTGATACCTATTTGGTACAAGTTAAGAGTTGTACTAGATGAGTGGCTTCTCTTTCACTGTCTGGGATTTTTTTCTTTTTTTTTTTTTTTTTTGAGACGGAGTCTCACTCTGTTGCCGAGGCTGGAGTGCAGTGGCACCATGTCGGCTCACTGCAACTTCCATCTCCTGGGTTCAAGCAATTCTCTTGCCTCAGCCTCCTGAGTAGCTGGGATTACAGGCACCCACCACCACGCCTGGCTAATTTTTATATTTTTAGTAGAGACGAGATTTTACCATGTTGGCCGGGCTGGTCTCAAACTCCTCACCTCAGGTGATCCACCTGCCTTGGCCTCCCAAAGTGCTGCGATTATAGGAGTGAGCCACCACACGGGCCTGGACTTCTTACATATGAGATCTTACATATAATCTTATATATAAATATATGTATGTGTATATATATACACATATGCATAAAATTTCTATCTGTCTGTCTATCGAGAGAGACAGAGACAGATACAGTGTCTCACTTTGTTGCCCAGGCTGGTCTCCAACTCCTGGGCTCAAGTGTTCCTCCTGCCTCAACCTCCCAAAGTGCTGGGATTACAGGTGTGAGCCACCATGCCCAGCTACCATCAGGAATTTTTATTATTGGTCTTCCTTGTGGATTTTGTTTTTAATGATTTGGTCCATCAATATATCTTTCTCATGTACTTGCTGGACAAAGCACACAACTGCAAATCAGCTCTTCTGATCAGCAAAGGAAATTAAGTTATTTACCTTAATAAATTACTATAACTTGAGCTGAATATGTAAAAATATATTATTAGCTTTTGAAACTTTAATATAGATGTAATTTCTGACAGGCTTTTACAAATACTAAAAATAGCTTCCAAGTCCTCTTTCTTAAGGATCTTTGGAGAGTCATAAAAACTAGTGAACTTGCTAATTGTAAGTTATTACTGAGGAAGAAGAAAATTCAGTGACTTCTCAAAAATTGTATTTCACATTTAATTACAAGTCATGATTTTTCTTTACTTTTTCCACAAAATGGTCAATAGTCTTTAAAAGATGTAAAAAAAAAAAAAATTTTTTTTACATTTAAATTAGCATTTTAAAATCTAAGGTAAGACTACAAAGCAGCATAACAGGTTTTCTGTCACTTGTAAACTGGATTAGAAGGCAATCCTCCAAATTCCAGAACCGTTGTGGAGATATGATTTTTAATTTACAATCCAGAAAAACTGCATTCAACAAGGAGTCAAAGGATTTGGGTTCTAGTTGCCAGCTTGCATGGTACAATCTTGAGTAAGTCTCTCAACTTCTGGATATAGGATATCAAAAGCCCCCCGCAACAGAATGAAAGGTGTTAAATCAGGTCATCTTGAATATTCTTTCCAACTCTGTTATTTTACAACGCCATGAAATCAGAGTAACATGTTCCAGGCTGTTTGGGGTTAGGGATTTTAGAACCTGATTCAATGTATAGCACTTTCTAAATTTCTACTTTTTGGAGTCTTATTCGAATATATACCTATATATGTCCCCCATGTTCTTCTATGCATGTAGTATATTTTTCTATTTAACAGTCTCTTTATCATTAGCAATAAAAAAAAGTTTCTCAAGGATGTATTTTTCATTTCTTTTTTTGGGGGGGAGGGAGTTTCACTCTTGTTGCCCAAGCTGGAGTGCAATGGTGTGATCTCGGCTTACTGCAACCTCTGCCCCCTGGGTTCAAGTAATTCTCCTGCCTCACCCTCCTGAGTAACTGGGATTATAGGCATGCGCCATCACTCCAGCTAATTTTGTATTTTTCCTAGAGATGGGGTTTCACCATGTTGGTCAGGCTGGTCTCGAACTCCTGACCTCAGGTGATCCACCCACCTTGGCCTCCCAAAGTGCTGGGATTACAGGCATGAGCCACTGAGCCCGGCCTCATTTCTTGCTTTTATGTTTTTCTGGCTTCCTTTTTTAATTTCTCCAAGATCTCTTCTGGAGTTGTAGAAGCCAAAAGCTTCACCACCTTTTCACGAGATTTACCACCCTGGACCAAAAGAGAAAAAACATACTTTACTGTTTAGCACATTCTATTGCTATTAGAGATAGCAGACCTTAGTTGTATAATGGGCTCTCCTGATGGCTTAGGTACCACTTTTTCTTGGTTACTTAGACTCTAATCAAAGACTGTCTCTTAGATTCTTCCTAACATTTGTTACTAAACTTTTGTTAGTACTAACAACTCTCCAGGGTTTTTACCTTCATACATCAATTTCTATAATAAAAGCTGGACATTAAAAACTCAAAAATAGGTTGGGCATGGTGGCTCACGCCTGTAATCCCAGCATTTTGGGAAGCTGGGGCGGGGGGGCGGGGGTGGATCACAAGGTCAGGAGTTCGAGACCAGCCTGACCAACATGATGAAACCCTGTCTCTACTAAAAATACAAAAATTAGCCGGGGGTGGTGGCGTGTGCCTGTAATCCCAGCTACTCAGGAGACTGAGGCAGGAGAATCGCTGGAACCCAGGAGGCAGAGGTTACAGTGAGCTGAGATCGTGCCACTGCACTCCAGCCTGGGCGACAGAGCGAGACTCCATCTCAAAAAAAAAAAATCTAAAAAATGAATATAGAATCTTTATAATATTCTAGTCTCAAGCAATTCTTTAAGTTAAAAATGAAAATCATCTTTAAAATAAATAAATATTGCAATTTTATAAAAACTTTGTAGTAAAATAATTATAAATATAAACACATTGGTATTCTCTATGTTGTTAACATTTCTGAAAATTCCAAACAAAAAGCAGCCAGATATTCAAGTGCTACGATTTCACAACCACTTAAAACAACTTTAAAAAGGATTTGTTGGCCGGGTGTGGTGGCTCATGCCTGTAATGCTAGCACTTTGGGAAGCCGAGGCGGGTGGATCACTTAAGGTCAGGAGTTTGAGACCAGCCTGGCCAACATAGCGAACCCCTGTCTCTACTAAAAATACAAAAATTAGCTGACGTGTTGGTGCATGCCTCCAATCCCAGCTACTCGGTAGGCTGAAGCAGGAGAATCACTTGAACCCGGGGGGCAGAGGTTGCAGTAAGCCGAGATTGCGCCATTGCACTCCAGCCTGGGCAACAAGAGTGAAACTCCGTCTCAAAAAAAAAGGATTTGTTTTCAAACACAGCCTTTAAAGAAGATTAAATTTGAGAAGCGGTTTATTTAGATCAATGGAATTTGAACAGGCAGAAGAGTGGGGAATACCTTTCAGGCAAATGTCAGAGCATGAGCACTAAACAAAAATCAGAAATGAACTGCCACAGGTTTGGATTTTTAGGTGCAGTTTGTTAATCAATGACTGTGAATGCCAGCTGGAATCTGGATAGGAGCTATATAGTATAGCACTGGAAAACAAGTAGAGCTTTAAGAAATATAAACATGGCTGGGCCCCACTCCTGCAGATTCTATTTCAAGAAGTCTAGAGTGATACCCAGGGATCTGTATTTAGAAATCATTCCTAGGTGATTTTGATATCCACCCCTAGTACAAAACCATATTAATGACATCATATGAACCTTCTGTCTTCCCAATGAGCTACTCCTAGTGAGCAAGGACAAAGCAGGGGTTTAGCAATACTTGACGGAGTCATTCATGGAGATGACTAACAATAGGAATTGCTTTAGGTTGTTTAGTGTGGTGATGGCTTAAAGGATGAGAGAGGTAAGCAAGATTAATCTGACAGCAGGTTCAGGAATGATTTCAGAAAGGAGAAAATGTTGGCAACAGTGGCAGTGAAGAAGCATAAGCACACAGCGCGGACAGTCTCAGTAAGGATTAAGGCAGCAGGCATGAAGGAGACTAAATAGGAAGAATTCACAGATTTCTGCGATTAAGTAAATATAAAAGTTATAAACAACTAGTTTCTCAATTATTTGAAAAAGACAGAAAAATCAGTATTTTACGAATCATTATTAATGTGTAATAATAAAAAATGGCTGGACGTGGTGGTTCACACTTGCAATCCCAGCACTTTGGGAGGCTGAGGTGGGCAGATCAGTTGAGGTCAGGAGTTCGAGACCAGCCTGGTCAACATGGTGAAACCCCGTCTCTACTAAAAATACAAAAATTAGCTGGGTGTGGTGGGGGGGCACCTGTAATCCCAGCTACCTGGGAGGCCTGAGGCTGAAGAATCGCTTGAACCCGGGAGGCAGAGATTGCAGTGAGCCAAGATCACGCCACTGCATTCCAGCTTGGGCAACACGGCGAGACTCCATTTCAAAAAAGAAATAAAATAAGGCCAGGCGCGGTGGCTCATGCCTGTAATCCCAGCACTTTGGGAGACCGGGGTGGGTGAATCACGTCAGGTCAGGCGTTTGAGATCAGCCTGTCCAACATGGTGAAACCCTGTCTCTACTACAAATACAAAAATTAGCTGGGCCTGGTGGTAGGTGCCTCTATTCCCAACTACTCGGGAGGCTGAGGCAGGAGAATCGCTCGAATCTGGGAGTGAGAGGTAGCAGTGCACCAAGATTGCACCACCGCACTCCAGCCTGGAAAACAGAGCAAGACTCCGTCTCAAAAACAAAAACAAAACCAAAACAAAGAAATAAAATAATCAAAGATGTTTAAAAAGAGAGAGACTGCCGGGCATGGTGGCTCATACCTCTAATCCCAGCACTTCGGGAGGAGCAGGCAGGTGGATCACTTGAGGTCAGGAGTTACAAGACCAGCCTGACCAACATGGTGAAACTCTGTCTCTATTAAAAATACAAAAATTAGCCAGGCGTGGTGGCATGCGCCTATAATCCCAGCTACTCAGGAAGCTGAGGCAGGAGAATAGCTTGAACCCAGGAGGTGGAGGTTGCAGTGAGCCAAGATTGTGCCACTGCACTCCAGCCTGGGCGACAGAGCAAGATTTTGTCTCAAAATAAATAAATAAATAAATAAAGAGAGACCTACCTTATCCAAAACCACATCACTCTTCCTGAGTTCTAGGACCTTGGAAAGATACCGACAGAGCTCAGCATTAGCCTCTCCCTCTGATGGAGGTGCTGCGATAGCTACATTTACGGCCTCTGCTGTCAAATCTGGAATGAAAACAGTATGGACTTTATCCTTAAGGAGTTCTTTTTCTTCATGAAGCAAGGACATTTTGTAAAAGAATTTTTGCATTTGCCTGGCACATAAATTTTCAATTAAAAACTGTTGAATGAAGAAATGAATTATTAATCACATTTAAGGGAACATGAACGTGATAAAAATGGCCCTACCATTACAGGAAATAAATCCAGAGAAGAAAACAGTTATTAACTCAATCTTGCTGACCAAGATGGGCTTACAGAGCCCTGGGGAGTATCCTGGATTTAGGCAACTGGAAATAGACCTTGGTATGTGAAAAGCCCCAGGCAGGGAGTCATAGATGGCCTTCAGCCTCATCAATGTCACTGAGGAAGTGCATGGACAGGGCAGCTTACTAGATTGTACATAGTTGTGCAGGGTTTCCTCATCAGGAAAATGAGAGCCCTGGACTAGGTTCACCTCTTATGTGACATATATCCTGAGTGTTTTTAAAATTTAATAATGTTTACTTAACAAATAATTACAGAGCACTTACTATACTCTAATTTTAAGCACACACAAATGTGTTAAAGGCTTTACAAATACTAACTTCTTTAATCCTTATAATGACTTTATGAAGATATTAATACCATTATTATCTCCATTTTACAAATGAGCCATGGCACCCAGCCTCCCATTTTAGATCTAATGAAACATAATACTCCAACAGTAGATAATGTTCACACCCACTACTTAGAAAATGCTGGCCAAGGAGGGTATGGCTAAGTTAACCTGGTCATCAGCATAAACCAGGTCTAGCACACCAATTTTGTGGTCTTCCTTTCAAAATCTAAAAATGGTTTGAAATACAGAGCTTTAGAGGTGCAAAAGACCTTCAAAATAATTTAGAGCAACGGTTTTCCAACTTTTTTCTCCTTTAGAAACCCTTTCCCCCAGTTTTCTCTAGAATCCCAATATTTAAAACATATGTAAATATAGCTAGTCAGCAGCCCTGTCTGCCTGGCCTCCCCCTTGCCCAAAGCTGATTCCTGAGGCACCTCCAGCACTCCAGAGAATAGCCTGAAAGCCTCTTAGTCTAATGATCTCATCTGACAGGTGAAAAAACTGGGCTCATGAATGTTTTATACTGTTTTGATTTAAAACAAGTTCGCACAGGAACTGATCATGGGTCTCAGATCTCAAGTTTTCTCCCTCTCCTTAGGCCAGTGATCGTTAAACTACACTAAAATGTCTCTTCTTTCTCTGGCCAATGTCTCCAGTTTTGGAATAGGACAAACTAAGAATAATCTAGACTATGCACAAGTTTCCATACCTGTCCTTTCTAAAATACTGTATTTTTAAAAAGGAAAATATACAATGGTTTTCATGTAACTTGGCATGATTTAAAGATATATGCACTTTCAGACACCTTTACATTAGAATCTAGAATTTTAAAATGGAGAAGCCTCTAACTGCAGATGTGAAAAATGAACTGTCACAGAATAAGCTTTCAGCTAACCAAAGCAAAGGGAGGCTGTAGGAGACACCTGATTCACACCTGATCCCACCCCAGTGTCCAGGTATACCTGTTACAGCATTTTGTTTGGAGCCAGGTTTTGCATGGATGGTTATGGTGACACAACCTTTAGGATCAACTGCCACAGGACCTAAGGGAGGAAATGGTCTCTCTGGTTCCTTGCTCTGGCTTTTCCCCTAAAATGACAACCACGCAACTTTACAGGTTACAAAATACTTTCCCACACATTTAATTTGATTCTTCCACTACCCCCTTTCACCCTTAACAGACAAATTAGGTTAATCAGTGGCGTCCTGGGACTTCTGGCCACCTAGAACGCTTTTCCCACAACCTTCAAGGCTCTACTCAATTTTCCCACGAAGCGTTCCCATCAACCCAAGAGTGTTTTTTCCTCCCTTGCAAGAAAACTTAACCCTGGCTTCTAAACTTTAATGCTTGTTCCTCCCTCTGCTTTATATTTCCAGTTCCTTGGGGGCATAGTCCATTTATTATTCATCATTGTATCTCATGCAGTCGGAGCTAATAAATGTTGGTGAAAATGTGTGTGTGTGCGTGTTGGGGGAAAGGGAGAAAAAAACAACAGTGCTTGATATTTAAAGGCCTGTTATGCGATAGGGGCTGTGCTAGGAACTTTCCTTCAACAAATATGTAGGCAATGGATATGTAAAGATGAAAAGGTACATGGCCCTTGCTCTCAAGGAGCTCGGACTACTGCGAGAGAGAAAGAACATACAAAATAATAATACACTGTGCTAAGGGCACCGATGAGATAGGCACAGAACATTACCCCACAGGCAGCTCAGCATTGGGGCACAGGTGGATGCTGCCAGCAGGAGGCAGTGCTTGAGCTGAGTCTGAGAAACGGACTGGGTTGGCCATACAAAGATGGTGGAAATGGGAGTGATGTATTATTGACAGAAGGGGTGCGATCAGCCAAGGTAAGGGAGGAGAAAGCAGAATACAGCCTCCCGGGGAAGCGCAGGCGTCATGCCGCTGCTGGAACATGAATTGCTGGACTGGGAGTGCGGGGAGGAGGCCAGAGGTCAGCACACGCAGCCCAAGGAAAGCTCGGCTGCCGCCGGGCCCAGCGCTCAGAAGTCACCGGGTGGACGGCGGCGCAGCCTACTGAGGCGGGGTGACAGCAGCAGGAGCCGTAGCTCTGGGGGTGGCAGCGGCTGTCTTGAGCCCCGGAACTGAAAGACAGCAAGCCGCTGGCAGTGCCTCCACTCACCCTCGGGCCCCGCTTCTCCCGCGCTCCTCAATGAGTAGCCCTAAGGCCCACCCCTCTGCTTCCAAGGGACCTGCTACTGGCCTTGGTCGTCGCACCAGCCTTCTTAGGCATCTCAGCGCGAAGAGGAAGCCGAGCTGAGCCCCGAGTATTGGGTGTTGACCGGAGCTGCCTCAGCACGCTGCGGAACCGCAGCATCCCCGCCTGCTTAGGCGCCGGAAGAGCCCTCTGCGCTTGCGCAGGTAGCTGGCAGGAGAGGCCTCAGCGACCAGCGCCCAGCGCCCAGCGCATCAGCTCTGGCCCGACGGCGACACCTTAAGGCCGGCGGAAGCGAGCCTCGTGCCCCCAGAACATGGGCAAGCCTCTTTTGTTCTGGAACTGGCCTCAGGAAGTGCAACTGCGGAGCTAGGGCCTCACCGTGTCATGGCCCACCCCCTCAGCTGATGGGAAGGTGTGTCACCTCGGGCGTTCTTTCCTAATCAGGGAAAGAAAGGTATTGTCCCTTCTCAGAATTGGAGAGCGCGGCAAGGAGTGCACAGGGCCAGGTGTCTTCTCGCTCCCGTAGCCAAGCCACAGGCAGCAGAGTCCCACGCTGCTGCCTGTGGCCATCAAGTCGATATAGAGCTTGGTGCCAGCTTGGCCCTTGTGAATCTTCCACGTATCGATGGCGCACCTACCTTGTGCCAGGCGCAGCGGATCCCACAATGTAAAAGAAAAGGAAATACACTGCGACATGTGATACGGCGAGACATGAAACAAATCAGCAGAGGCAAGATCATGGAGTCACTGAAGGCTTTCAAGCAAGGGATTAGCAGTCCAATTTGTTGTTTTAGAAAGACACCAGCTGCACTGTGGCCGACAGAGGAAAAGCCGGAAATAGGGAGATCCGCCCCCTAAATGGGAGAGGGTGGCCTGAACTAGAGTAACCGCAGGGAGGGTGGAGCGCTGATCATTTCAAGGATCTTCAGGAACTGGAATCATCAGAACTTGGGAATGACTGCATGTGCGAATAAGGGGGAAGAGTCAAGGAAATGCCCAAGTTTGAGGCCCAAAGAACAGGTCTGGGAGTCCGAGATGAGGAGTTCAGCTTTGTACATAATGAGTTTGAGATGCCCGCGGGACATCCAAGTACAAGTATTAAAGGGGTAACTGAATATATGTAACTGAAAGTTTGTGAAATCAAGGCTGGCGATAGAGATTCTGGAATCTTCTGAAAGCAGATGGCAATTGAAGCTATGGAAATGGATGAGAGTGTGTGTAAAGAGCACGAGGGCTCAGGATAGAACAGCAAGGGCAGGTAGAGAAGTCATTGACCAGGTAAGAGTACAGTGCAACGGCAACTAAGGAAACGCGCTTCAAGAGGGAATATCAACAGTGATGAACGCTCCAGAGAGAGCATGTCACATGTAACGACTGAGAAGTGGCCACAAGATTTAGAAATCAGGTCAGTGTTGGTGACCTGGGCTAGAGCAGTTTCAGTGGAGAGAAGGAAATGGAGATAATTGTAGGGAATAATCCAGTGACTTCACTGTGAAGGAGCAATTGGTATCTGAAGGGGCACATGACATTCAAATACTTATTTTTACCATATTTGAAGATTGGTAGGAAAGAGCCAGGAGAGGAGAGGTTACAGCAGAGGGCAGTTCCTGAAGAGGTAGGATCTGAGCTCAAGTAGAGACTGACTTCACTACAGGAGGCCTTAGACACTCCCTCCTTCCTAAGGGAAAGCTTAGATGGACATGTAGCTATGTTTATAGGTTTGGTGATGGGAGGTGGAATTTCTTTCATTAACTAAGGGCGGGGAAGGTGTTGAAGGTGTGAGCAAAGTGGAACAGCTTTACATTGGGACTCTCGAGACTGGCAAAGGGCTGACTATTGCAACTCACTCAGCAGTAGACAGTTAAGGAAGACCATGAAATCCTCATGATCCCAATTTATAGTTACATTATTTTATTTTATTTATTTTTGAGAAAGAGTCAGGGGGATGGGAAAAGCCTGTCGCCCAGGTTGGAGTGCAGTGGCAGGATCTCGGCTCACTGCAACCTCCGCCTCCTGAGTTCAAGCAATTCTCCCTGCCTCAGCCTCCAGAGTAGCTGGGACTATAGGCGCACGCAACCACGCCCATTTTTTGTATTTTTAGTAGAGACAGGCGTTTCGCCATTTTGCTCAGGCTGGTCTCGAACTCCTGAGCTCAGGCAATCCACCTGCTTTGGCCTCCCAAAGTGCTAGGATTACAGGTGTGAGCTAGCGCCTGGCTTATAGTTACATTACTTTAAATGCCTGGATTAACCAGCTAAGAAGTTTTTTTTTGTTTTTTGTTTTTTGTTTTTTAATTAAAATTTCTTTTTTTGGCCCCAGTGCTACTACCAAAGCAGTCAGGAAGTTGAAGGTAAGGCAGACAACTGGATTGATTTAGGTATATATAAGTGTGTTGAAGGTTATTGATGAAATTGTTAAAGTGATTAAAGACCAAAGGTGGAGAGGGGTTGAGGGAGACCAAAAATAGAGTCTAACTGGGTAGAGAAGGAAGAAGAAAAGAACAGAGAGGACAAGGGGCTGCAGTCTTCAGGTTCAGTAACGGGTGTAACTGGAATGTGAGAGCTGGAAGAAACACCAAATGTTGTGGCCAAAGAGTGGGCTGTCTGAATTTACTATTTCAGATGTAGAGCAGTTCCACATCATGATAGGGTATACGGTGTGGCCATGATAAGGAATGGTGAAGTTTGCTTGAGGTAAAGAAGAAACTGGAAACCTAGGTGTGGCTGGGTTGTCCACATGGCCACTGAGGCCATGCAGTATAAAGGCTTGAGCAGAAGAAAGTGAGCCAGGTGTTAAACCAAAACCATATTTCCCTTCTTTGAAATCAGTTAAGAATTGAGGCACAAAAGCAGAACCAGCATTATATAGCAGTCATTTGTAGAATCTGCTTTGGGTGAAGTCACGTCAGCCTCAATTAGAGATTTGGCAGTTGTCATGGAAATAAAGGGGGCATCTGTGAAGGTGAGTTATGATGGCATCTGGCTAGATGGGTGAAGAGAGCGAAGAGGTGCCTTGCAGCGAACCATTCAGCCTTTCCCACACGTGAGTCAGGAGTAGGCGGTATGAGGACTTCATCGCACCAGCAAGGAGAAGAAAAGCCATCCACCCCATGTCCACCTGACTTGTTGCTCCTGCCCACATCCCTGCCTCTTGAAGGGAGAGAGAGGCAGAGTGGGAAGACATACTGCCTAACGGTGAGGGAAAACACAGAGACTGATTCAAATGGCAGGAAACCCCTTGTAAATGTTTGTGGTGGTTCATTTTATTGAGACAGGATCTTGCCATGTTGCTCAGGCTGGTCTCATGCTCTTGGATTCAAGCAACGCTCCTGCCTCAGCTTCCTCAGTAGCTGCATAACTACAGGACTCACTTTATCGTGTTTTAAATAGAGTTCCACTTAAAAACTCGCAATGGAGAAACAGGAAAAGGGATTTTTAAAAGCATATAAACTAGGTGTATGTGAATAAATACACCGTGCAGCTCTGGGGCTGGCTGTTGGGGCTGGGACTGCAAAGGTACCATCCTTCTTGTGAAGGATGTGTTTTTTCTAATTGGGGGACAATTCCAGGTCTTGAATCTGGATGACTAGAACAGCAAGTAGTACTAAAGTGGTTTGAAGAAGCACTAAAAAGTGGGACGTTTTAAACACATTGCATGTAACATATCTCATTGAAGACCTTGCTCTCTTTAATGTCTTACAAGTTTATTCCCATGTTAAAAATAATTTTAAAAGGCCAGGCACAGTGACTCACACCTGTAATCCCAGCACTTTGGGAGGCCGAGGCAGGCGGATCACGAAGTCAGGAGATCGAGACCATCCTGGCTAACATGGTGAAACCCCGTCTCTACTAAAAATACAAAAAACTAGCCGGGCATGGTGGCGGGCACCTGTAGTCCCAGCTACTCAGGAGGCTGGGGCAGGAGAATGGCGTAAACCCCGGAGGCGGAGCTTGCAGTGAGCCGAGATTGCGCCACTGCACTCCAGCCTGGGCGACAGAGCGAGACTCCGTCTCCAAAAAATAATAATAATAATTAAAAAAAAAAAAAAAACTATAGGTACTACTGTCAACACTCTGATAATGCAAGGAATCTCAATTTGTTGGGTAGATACTGGAATATCACACTTTCTTAAAACAGAAAGTATATTTTATAGTAGATAGTCAAATATCTTTTTGGGTCTCACTGCAAAGTTTGAGAATGGTGACATGTTATTTTTGAACCCTGCAAAACATTTTCTCAACTCTGTAAATGGGTTTAAATTCCACCTCCCACCACTTGATAAACTTTTTTTTTCCTGCCCCGACAGGGTCTTGCTTTATCACCCAGGCTGGAGCGCAGTGGTGCTATCATAATTCACTGTAATCTTGGACCCCTGGGCTCAACCAATCCTCCCCTCAACCTCCCAAGCAGCTACAACTATAGGCACGTGCCACCACAACCCAGCTAATTTTATTTTTCAGAGACAGGGTCTATGTTGCCCAGGCTGGTCTTGAACTCGTGGCCTCAAGTGATCCTTCTGTCTCAGCCTCTCAAAGTGCTGGGATTACAGGTGTGAGCCACCATGCCCAGCCTAGCTGACCTTTTAATTTGCCCGTGAAATGGGTACTTACCTCATACTGATGCTGTGAGAAACAAATAAGAATGTAGTCAAGTACTTATTGCAGAGCCTAGTACATAGTAGTCACTTGGGTAGTTATTATTAATAAACAGCTGTAAGATGATAGTCACACTCTAACAGTAAGATTATTTATTGGATTCTCCCACATTCATCCTCCACCTCCTGAGATTAGAACAGGGGAGAAAAACCTGAGACCACAAGAAGTGATCAAGAAACAAAAGGCAGTGGCAGTTATCGCTGCAGTTCCTATGAACTGCTTTAAGTCAGCAGTGAGGTATTTGTATTTTGTATTGCATTACTCCCATAAAGTTAAACTCAATTAACTAGAACCTCTGTTCCAAAATGGTGTTTATAGCCAGGCGTGGTGGCTCACGCCCGTAATCCCAGCACTCTGAGAGGCCAAGGCAGCTGAGGTCAGTTCGAGACCAGCCTGGCCAACATAGTGAAGCTCCGTCCCTACTAAAAATACAAAAGTTAGCTGGGCATGGTGGTGGGCGCCTATAATCCCAGCTACTCTGGAGGCTGAGGCCGCAGAATTGCTTGAATCCAGGAGGTGGAAGATGCAGTGAGCTGAGATCACACCA